TAACTAAGGGATTATTTGGTAAAATGACAAGTGACGATAGAAAACACCAGTGAAATATGTGGGTGAATGCAAGAGGAAAACAACAAGAAGCAAAGACACTAGCTGATGTCCTTGAGATATTGGGAAACTTCTCGTCTGAAGGAGGAAGTAACTAAGGGGTGAAGGAATGCGTTTGCTAAACTTAGCGTACTCACTGCCAGCACGTTGGGTAAAAAAGTGACTACGAACCGACATCCTTGGCCTTACTGAAGCGCCTTCATCATCTCACCTTCAGTAGATGAAGTAGAAAAAGAGAAGAGCTTGGTGGAGGAGGGACCACCACAAAAAGCATGGGACCCTGAGCGATTTTGTATACAGTTATCAAGTCATTTCTGTCAAAACATATTAGAGAAACTACATCCTTTCATTATTTTCAGCTCTTTGACTGGGTCAAAATTCTCTTCAGGGGTTTCATCATCTTGCGACTCATCCACGAAGTTGTCGTCAATTTCTTCGGAACTGATAGAATCGAGATGGTTGAGGATAGTGGTACGGTCTGAGCGCCAGGAAAGCCGACTTCACCGCACCAAACAGCTGAACAGTTTCTTGTCAAAGCAGATTCCCTTTTGAGGGCGCAAACTACCGTACACTGACCTCAAAATTTTCTTTTTCCATATTGCTAAGCTGCCTCATCATTTCCTTGCGCGTCACATTCTTGTTCTGGGTTATATTCAGAAATTTCTCAACAGCTTTCGGGAATTCGGTCACAAATGTTGTGACGTTGTATTTCAGCTCTTCTCTGAAACGTTCTGTTCTGTTGTTGAGTTCGAGCTGTTCCTGAAGCAGAAAGGTTTCCCATTGTGGACTGCTTATCTTTCATTGATACAATACTATGTAGCAGAGTCGACGGTCTCCAAAGTAATAATAATAATAATAATAATAATAATAATAATAATAATAATAATAATAATAATAATAATAATAATAATAATAATAATAATAATAATAATAATAATAATAATAATAATAATAATAATAATAATAATAATAATAATAATAATAATAATAATAATAATAATAATAATAATAATAATTAATAATAATTAATAAAGCTATGCACAAGAAGCATAAACGTTAACTGAACGACGCGTGAAAGGCGCTCTGTGGACGTAACGGATAGCTCACTCGCCCCGGAAAGGCTTGAGGCTCGTTCATCCCGTCTGGGGCCACACTTTGCCCATAACCTTCGAGCATTCTTGTGCATAAACTTTCGTAACGCGTACTGCGGGCGTAAAACCAGCATATATCCTAACAAAACGACCTTTACAATGAGAGTAATAATAATAATAACAATAATAATAATTCTCCAATTTCTCTCTTCTTGCAACCTCGGCATGTTAGTAGTGAGTGCTTTAATATTCTTGTGCCTTACAAGGTTGTCAGGTGGAACATTTATAAAAAATAACCTAACGTTTCGACTTAATCGTCGTCTTCAGAGGACAGTTGTTCCACCGTTCGAGCGGATAGGTCCGCTGCCACACTACGAGCGCTATCACTAGCACAAATCACTCGAGAAATCTTTTCTACTCGACAGGCCGCTCTCAATTGTGCAGCGGACCTTCCGCCTTGAAAGTGAACACCCAGGACTCGTGTAACCGAACATTAAGTCCGAACACAACGTTTAGGCCATTTTAATGAACGTCTCCACCCTAACAACCTCGTAGCGGCATCAGCGAATCATTAAATAATTAATGAGACTACCTCCGCCTAATTCTACCACTAGTCCATGGGTCGCTCTTCTCGAGAATTTAGTTGTTCCTTGTCTTCACGAGGCAAATTATGATTGATATTCCTCTGTTTTTTGCGCACAATTAAACAGTTAGGCAGACAATTGAACAAACACCTGAAAAAATCGCAAAAACACTCTATTACAGAAACAAAAAAGACTCCACGCCCTAATGTACTTCATAAAGACAATTAAACAACTAACCTCATAAAAATAGATAATATAGTGAAAATTAGGGAGAAAATGGCCAAATTAGGGCGGAAACAGCCGATCGGCGCCACAGCCGCGTCGCGACCCTTGGCCGTCCAATCAAGTGCCCGGGTGACGACTGTACGAGTAATGATAACAGTGACGGCAATCATAATATCATATTGGTTCTTCACTTTCTATTCTTTCTCTCTATATTTCTCCAACACTGAATCTCTTAACGGTAGTTTACTTCGACAACATTGGTGTGCTTTTCAAGGATCGCTTTACAAGACACGCGATGAAGTAATGCCCCATAAGTAACGACGCTTTTTCCTCACTCAAAAAATTGCGCTGAAAGTGAAAACTTTGCCACTGAGTTTCATACTGTTTTGCAGAAAGCTCCTGTTCTATACGAAAGGTGCTCTTAGTTTTATTGAAGTTTCTGGTTCCAGTAATAGTTAAACGCTCAAACTGGAGTGTCAGGTCGGCGAAGTTGAGCATTCTCAACAGGCTCTCTTTTTTACTGCTAATTAAAACGCTAAAACCGCACAGACCGTAGTGGATAAGAAGCTACGTCTCCTAAAAAGGCTTGCAGCCGGTTTAACCGATTTAAATATTCCACGTTCGACCTCACGGACAAGCATCGAACCTGATGCTCTATTGAGTCCACTGAGAGCTTAGTGGATCGTCTTATTCTCGGAGATTCATGCCAAAGATTGAGCAGTCATACTCACGAAATGCTTCCTTGTCACTATCAACATCATCCGAGAGGGCTTCCCATGCGATACACATTTACAAGGTCCGGAATCCCATCTTTGACCGCTTGAACCAGCTTCAAGCTGTCATAGGAAGCATTTCTTCTTACCAGGAAAGGTCAACAGGTCAGCCTGGTCATTTGCAATGAAATGCACACCGTTGTATGCGGAACGATTCTCTGAGCGGAGTTAGAGAGGTTTTTCTTTACTGTTTTTCTTCTTCCGGGCGCGCTGGCGCCGAAGCGTTGGCACCTGTAGCGCGACTCACAGCGCTCTTCGCGCAAAATAGGTATCATATTCGTGTTCAGGGGGTCAAATAACCCCTAGAGACGTCACCTTCAGCGAAATCTGAGGTTCTGACTCAACTTCAAAAAAATGGGGTATGGATAGTCATGGCTGACTGATAGCAACAGCGATACTATGACTAGCATACTGGTGATGACTGGTCTTCGAACTGAAATAACTCTTCAGTCATGTCTTTTTGCAAACAACAGTACCTGGCTTACTTATTTGTGCCGTCTGCATCATTTTCTTGACTATCGGGAGGAAATCCCATTCCGAGACCAGTCATCGATAGTAGGTGCTCCAATCTGCTGCTAATTACCCATGGAATAGCCCACATTTTCCAAGTGAGGTCGAAAAATCAGATTCGGCTAGAAACTTGTCCCAGGGGTAATTTAACCCGCTGAACATGAATATGATGGTATTTCATTGCAAAAACCCTTGTGACACGTGTTACGAGGGGTACAAGCAGAAGCACTCTTTCAGGCCACAATGGGTCTACACTTTAAAAAAAACTGATCGCAGGTTCCCTTATAAGGTAGTGCAGGCGAGCAGAGATGTTAGAAGCTTTGTCGGCTATGTTCTTGGACAAATGCAAAAAAAGCGACCTGCCCCGGAATCGATCCTACGAACCCTAAGAAACCCGCTCACTACCCACGTTTCAGCATGACTCCATACATAAATGTAAAGACGCTTCCACGTTTCCTCGCGATAGCATGTGAAACGACCACGCGGGGATAAGACCCTCCATAACTCCGTTCAGAGAATCGTTCCGCAAATTCTGAAGGTAGATTTGAGTTCACTGTCCCAAGACGCGTACAACGGTGTGCAGCTCATTGGAAATGGCCAGGCTGACCTGTTGACCTTTCCTGGTTAGTCATGTATATCGCAAGTTTTGAGCTTCTTCTGTAGCTTGTATAGTTTGATTGCCGAGGTGTAGTGCAAAAAGTTATTGTCGGAAACTCACTTTTGAGTCTACCTGGCACTTTTCACTCTTCTGCCTTTGCACCACTGTCGGCGCTCGCCCCATCATTTGTCCTAGTAACAGCGAAGCTTTTAACTGTTCACTTGATAGTTACACATTAATGAAAGGTATGTCCTTGCAGGTTGCTTGAGCAGGTTTTTCTGGCACTATGGGTAGCCTGGTTGTCTCCATGGGTATATGAAGCTTTGACAACGGACGACATGTATGCATGCATCCTCGTGACCTGATTATTAGTAGAACTCGAGCATCTGTATCTTCGCGTTATGCTTGCTTGAAGAGCTTTACATGAGTTTTATTCCATGTCATTTTTATATTTAATACGTGATAGAGACTATTTGACCCTGTTGGGCTTCATATGAAAGCTCGAAAAACGAGGCCGTGCTCGTTTTTTGCGACAGCGTAAGGCAGCGTTTTGAGAATTTTGAGCGAAAGCCGGCCCCAGCGGGGAAGTGTAGATATCATTCTAGCGAACGCCCACGCCCACTAATGTCCATTAGAGGAGAGTATGGCGAAGAAGGATCGTAGCGGTCGCTAGATAGGCTTCACTAAATGGCGGGTGTGCAACCGCACCGTATAACCGCTGAAGCACAGAATCATTTAATCTCTATGTAAGGTGTAGTGCAGTTCTGCAGTGCGGTAAACACGCACCGCAATTTCGCGACGCCTAATCCAGCTACCTGCTCAACCGCCTACTTCGCCATACCCTCCACTCCTGGACGCTGGTGCTGGCGCTCGCTTGGAATGTTGGGTGCCGGTGGTCGCTGGTGGACGCTGCCGCGAAGTATGAACGCAGCCTTAAGTGGTTCTAGACTTAACGCATGTGATGTTCGTGTTCAGTATGTCGAACTACCCTTGGCATGGCACATCATTGTTGGGGATTTTGGTCGGACCCGTACGACCCTCCCTTTTTTTCCCAGGGAGTTGATGGGACCCCTCCCCTTTCCCCTACTTCTGTCTTTATCGAGCTCTCGAGGATGGGAAGGGAAGG